CAGGGTGTTGCGCGCGGCGTTGCCGGGTGTTGCGCGGGGCGTTGCCGGGTGTTGCGCGGGGTGTTGCCGGGTGTTGCGTGCGGCGTTGCTGGGTGTTGCGCGCGGCGTTGCTCCCGCCGACGCGCCGGTGGCCGCGCAGGGCTGGGGCCGGTGATGCCCGGCTGAGCCGCGTCGCCGCCAGCACCGCCGGCGCCATGGCCGACACGCTGGAGTTCAACGAGATCTACCAGGAGGTCAAGGGCTCCATGGTGAGGGGCTCCCCCGCCCCGGCCGCGTCAGGCGGCGCCGGCTGTGCGGCTCCGCCGCGCGCTGACGGCCGCCTGTGCCGCAGAACGACGGGCGGCTGCGCCTGAGCCGCCAGGGCGTCATCTTCAAGAACAGCAAGACGGGCAAGGTGGACAACATCCAGGCGGGCGAGCTGGCCGAGGGCGTGTGGCGCCGCGTGGCGCTCGGCCACGGCCTCAAGCTGCTCACCAAGAGCGGCCACGTCTACAAGTACGACGGCTTCCGCGAGGCGGTGAGTGCCCCCCCGGGGTGACGGGGCCCCCCGCGGGGGACGGCGGCGGCCCCCAAGGGTGACGGAGCCCGCCGCGTTGTCGCCGCCGGCCGCAGGAGTTCGACAAGCTGGCGGACTTCTTCAAGGCGCACTACCGGCTGGAGCTGGCCGAGCGGGAGCTGTGCGTCAAGGGCTGGAACTGGGGCACCGTGCGCTTCGGAGGTGAGCGGAGCCGCCCAGTGTGGAGCTCCCCCCACGCGGAGCTCCCCCCACGGAGCTCCCAATGCGGAGCCCCCAATGTGGAGCGCCCCACGTGGAGCCCCCCACACGGAGCCCCCAGTGTGGAGCCCCACACGGAGCCCCCCCCACACAGAACCCCACGTGGGGCTCCCCACGTGGGGCTCCCCACGTGGGGCTCCCCACGTGGGGCTCCCCACGTGGGGCTCCCCACGTGGGGCTCCCCACATGGAGCTCCCCACATGGAGCCCCACACAGAGCTCCCAACACGGAGTCCCACGCAGAGCTCCCAACACAGAGCTCCCAGTGTGGAGCCCCACACGGAGCTCCCAACACCAGAGCCACATGGAGCTCCCGACACGGAGCTCCCACTGTGGAGCTCCCCACACGGAGCCCCCCACACGGAGCTTCCAATGTGGAGCCCCGCACATGGAGCTCCCACTGTGGAGCTCCCAATGTGGAGCTCCCAATGTGGAGCCCCACACAGAGCTCCCCTCACGGAGCTCCCCACATGGAGCCCCTCCCGGCGTTCCCAGCGTGGAGCCCCCCCGGAGCTCCCCACACGGAGCCCCCCCCGGAGCTCCCAGCGCGGAGCCCCCCCGGAGCTCCCCACACGGAGCCCCAAACGGAGCCGAGCGGCGGCTCTGACCCCCGCGCCCTCCCGCCCGCAGGGCAGCTGCTCTCCTTTGACATCGGCGAGCAGCCCGTGTTCGAGATCCCGCTGAGCAACGTGTCGCAGTGCACCACGGGCAAGAACGAGGTGACGCTGGAGTTCCACCAGAACGACGACGCCGAGGTGTCGCTCATGGAGGTGCGCTTCTACGTGCCGCCCACGCAGGAGGACGGCGTCGACCCCGTGGAGGTGAGCGCCTGCGCGCGGGGACGCGGCGCCGCGCGCCCGCCGTGCCCTTCCCGCCCCCTTTCCCGCTGCCTTTCCCTCCGCATTTCCCGTCTCGGCGCAGGCCTTCGCCCAGAACGTGCTGTCCAAGGCGGACGTGATCCAGGCCACGGGCGACGCCATCTGCATCTTCCGGGAGCTGCAGTGCCTGACGCCGCGCGGCCGCTACGACATCCGCATCTACCCCACGTTCCTGCACCTGCACGGCAAGACCTTCGACTACAAGATCCCCTACACCACGGTGCTGCGCCTCTTCCTGCTGCCGCACAAGGACCAGCGGCAGATGTTCTTCGTGGTGAGCGCGCCGTGGGGCTGCCGCGCGCCCCAGCGGGGCCGCCTCCCGCCGGGACCCCCATCTCCATCCCCCCCTTGCAGATCAGCCTGGACCCGCCCATAAAGCAAGGCCAGACCCGCTACCACTTCCTCATCCTGCTCTTCTCCAAGGACGAGGACATCTCGCTGACGCTCAACATGAGCGAGTGAGTGGCCGCCGGTGCGCCGTGACGGTCCCGCGGGGACGGGTGCCGGTCCCACGGGGGTGTGGGGCCGGGCGGTGATCCCGGGGCCGCCCCGCGCTGCCGGCCCCGCGGCTCAGCGCCGCCTGTCCCGCGGCGGCGCAGGGAGGAGGTGGAGAAGCGCTTCGAGGGCCGCCTCACCAAGAACATGTCGGGCTCGCTCTACGAGATGGTCAGCCGCGTCATGAAGGCGCTCGTGAACCGCAAGATCACCGTGCCCGGCAACTTCCAGGGGTGAGCGCGGCCGGCGCCGGCGCGCGGCCGGGGCCCTTCCCGCCGGGAGCGGGGCCGGGGGGCGCGCGGCTCGGCGCGGTGACGCAGCGGCCGCCGTGGCGCCCGCAGGCACTCGGGCGCGCAGTGCATCACGTGCTCCTACAAGGCGAGCTCGGGGCTGCTGTACCCGCTGGAGCGCGGCTTCATCTACGTGCACAAGCCGCCCGTGCACATCCGCTTCGACGAGATCTCCTTCGTGAACTTCGCGCGCGGCACCACCACCACGCGCTCCTTCGACTTTGAGATCGAGACCAAGCAGGGCACGCAGTACACCTTCAGCAGCATCGAGAGGTGGGCGCGGGGCGCCCGCGGCAGCCCGGCGTGCCCGTGGGGCGCCCCTCACCGCGGCCGCCCCGCAGGGAGGAGTACGGGAAGCTCTTCGACTTCGTCAACGCCAAGAAGCTCAACATCAAGAACCGCGGCCTCAAGGAGGTAGCTGCGCGCCGCGCCGGCCCCCGCGCCCCTGCCGCCGCCGCTCTCCTCCCGTCCCAGCTTTCCTGCTTTTTTCACTCCTTAATTTGTTTTCCCCCCGTTTTCACCTCTTATTTCTTTTCTCTCCTTGCCCGTGTAGAGGAAAAAGGTCCGTGCGATTCCCCTTCCTCTTTCTCCTCCTCCTCCTCCTCGTGGTGCAGGTTTCCTCTGCATGGCCGTGGTGATCCATGACTAACCCCAGTAACCCCAGCACGGCGCGGGCGAGGGCCTAACCCCGTTAACGGCTGCGGGGGGAGGCCGGGGGGCGGCGGCGGGCGCGCGCGGGCGCTCACGGCGCCGCTCGGCAGGGCATGAAGCAGAGCTACGACGAGTACGCCGACTCCGACGAGGACCAGCACGACGCCTACCTGGAGCGCATGAAGGAGGAGGGCAAGATCCGCGAGGAGAACGCCAACGAGAGCAGCGACGGCTCCGCCGAGGAGAGCGGTGAGCGCCCGCGCCGGCAGCGCCCGCGGCGCCCGCGCCGGCCCCCCCTGAGCCCCCCGCGCTGCCCCCTTCCAGATGAGTCCTTCAACCCCGGAGAGGAGGACGATGACGTGGCCGAAGAGTGAGTGGGCGCCGGGCTCCTGGGGCCGCCCCGCGCGTGTGGGGCGGCGCCGGGGCCGCGCTGCAGCCGCCTCTGCCGCAGGTTCGACAGCAACGCCTCGGCCAGCTCGTCCAGCGGCGACGGCGACAGCGCCCGCGAGGACAGGAAGCCCCCCAAGAAGGCCAAGGTGGCCAAGGAGCGCAAGCCCCGCAAGAAGCCCTCCGAGGTGGGACGGCGGCGGCCGCGATGTGGGGCCGGAGCCGAGGCCCCCGAGCCGGGGCCGGGGTCGCCGCTACCGGCCTCCTTCTCTCCGCGCTTCCCAGAGCAAGAAGGGCAAAGACCCCAACGCGCCCAAGAGGCCCATGTCGGCTTACATGCTGTGGCTCAACGCCAGCCGGGAGAAGATCAAGCTGGAGCACCCCGGCATCAGCATCACCGACCTGTCCAAGAGGGCCGGGGAGCTCTGGAAGGCCATGGCCAAGGAGAAGAAGGAGGTTGGCTGCTCCGGCGCGTCCGGACAGATCCGGGGGGCTCGTGGACAGGAGCAGGGATGGGCGGCGGGGCTGGGGCTGGGGCCGGTGCCACCACGGTCGCGCTCTGCCCGCAGGAGTGGGAGCGCAAGGCGGAGGACGCCAGGAGGGACTACGAGAAGGCCATGAAGGAGTACAGCGTGGGCGGCCGCTCCGAGGCCTCCAGGGCGTGAGTGCGCGCTCTCCGCGTCCTCCCGCGGAGACCTTCTCCGTGTGGGAGGAGCCGCGTCACCCCGAGCCGCGGCACAGGCTGCCCGGGGCGGCTCCTGCTCCGGAGATCCCCAAACCCGCCTGGATGCGCCCGGCCGGTCCCTCGGGCTCCCTTCCACCCGCAGCCATCCTGGGCTCGTGGGATGGATCCGTGGCCCCGCGTCACGCGGCCCCTCCGCTGCAGGGAGCGCTCCAAGAAGAAGAAGAAGAAGGCGGAGAAGCAGGGGAAGGGCAAGGCGGAGAGGAAGGGGGCGGCCGCCCGCTCCGCCTCCTCCGCCCGCTCTCCCGCCAAGAGCCCCGGCGAGAGCTTCAAGAGCAGGGAGTTCGTGTCGAGCGACGAGAGCTCCTCGGCGGACAGCAAGAAGGAGGTGCGGCCCGCGCGCGCTTGTCGCGCCGCTCGCACCCGGCGCCCCGCCTGACGCCCTCCCGCGCCCTCTCTCCCGCAGGACTCGGAGGAGGAGGGCGGCGCCAGCGCGGCGCCCAGCTCCGACGACTCCGCGTCCGCCTCGGATTAGCCGCTTCCCGGCGGGACGCCGGCCCCTTCCCGCCCCGCCGGCGGGCGTGCGCGGCCCCCGGGCCCCTCTCCCAACCCTGTTTCATCAATTTATTTTTTTTAAATACTCAGGCTCCTTTCAATATCCTTTTTTTTTTCCTTTTTTTTTGTGTGTGTATTTTGGGTCCGTTCGCGTGGCAAGCGGCAGTGAATAAACCCCCGGTGCGGGTGTGCGAGTGGGTGCACAGGCGCCGGGGGGCAGGAACAGCCGGCGCCGCTTCCCCGCCGCTACAGGCGGCCCCTGTTCTCGGCTCCGGAATCCTGACGCTCCCGGAGCGCTACAGCCGCAGCCTGCGCTCCCGCTAGCGCCGGGGCCCCGGGGTGCGAGGGGTGTCGCGGCCGCCTGTGCGCGGCTGGGGGCTGGGGGCCACAACCGGCCGCAGAGCGGGTAGGGCCGTGGCGATGGCCGCGCCCACGTGTAGGCGGGAGGCCCCGCGGCGGGCGGCGACCACCACACTCGCGGGCAGCGGGGCCGCTCTCTATGGTAGGCGCCGTGCTGCGGGAGGCACTTCCGGCCGTCGTCTCTATGGTGCCTGCGCCGCTGGCCGCCAACACCCTCTGGCCGCCCTCTCTATGGTCGCCCCGCGCGCCCCCTCCCTAGGCCCCCCCCCCTGGCCCCGCCCCCCGGCGTCACGTGGTCTCCGCGGCCACGCGGCGCCCTGGCCCCGGCGCGGCATGGCGGGGCGGGCGGTGACGTCAGCGGCGGCGGGGGGCGTGGCCCGGCGGCGCTCATGAATATTCAGCGCGGCGGGTGAGGCCCGCGCGGGCGGCCCCGGTGCCCGCGTGCGTGGAGCGGGACCGGGACCGGGACCGGGACCGGGACGGGGCGGGCGCGGAGCCTCTCCCGGCAGGT